GCCTCCGTGGTCGTGGGTGGGAAACACCCCTATCGCGCCCCCCGGCCGGCGTTTCTCGTCCGGGCCCCTTCGCTTAAAGCGCCCAAGGACGCCAAGTGTGCGCTGGGACCGCCCTCGGTCCTTCCGCGCGCAGCGGCCGCGGGACTCGGTCAAGTTGCGAACAGGGGTGCGGCGCGCGCTACGCCCGCTCTGGGTGCTGGCGCCGCTCCCGGGCTGTTCCTCGCGGGCCGGGAATCCGCCAGCCCTGCCAGTTGGCGCTGGGCCCTCAGAGGTCCGGGACGGGCACACAGGCCCGCCACCTGCCCTGCCTGGGGCTCAGTGCTTGGAGCGTTGTCCCGAGCACTGAACGGTTGCGGGTTCGATCCCCGGTCAGGTGGGTACGGGAGGCAACTCACGAATGTTTCCTCTCTCCGTCTACTTTTCTCTCTGAAATTCAAAAAAACATATCCTCAGGCGAGTACTTAAATATATATGTATATTTTTAAATTGATGTCAGAGGAAGGGAGGGAGGAACATCCCTCATGAGAGTCATTAGTCAGCCGCCTCCTGCACGCCCCCTGCTGGGGATCGTGCCCACAACCCGGGGCTGTGCCCTGACCCGAATCCAACGGGCGACCTCCTGGTTGGTGGGTCGACGCTCATCCGCTGAGCCACAACCAGCCGGGCCTCAGGTATTTAAACAAAAAACTAAACAAAGACCCCGAACCTGGGGAGTGGGGGGTGGTGTGGGTCCTACACCAGGAGGAGACAGGCTTGGGACTGGTAGGTCTTGCAGGTGGATTTTTTTTTTTTTTTAGATAAAATGTACATAAGTTAAAATTAACCATTTTAGTGTACAGTTCAGTGGTTTAGTTGTACATTCAGGAACTTGTGCAGTTATCACTACTCTTTTCTGAACATTTTCATCACCGTGAAAAAGAGACCTCTGCACCTGTGAAGCAGTCACACGCTCTCATTCTTCCCCCCTTCAGCTCTAGGAAGCCACTTATGTGTACGGGTCGCACATAGATTTCACAATAATTTTTGTTAACTGTAAAGTAAGTTACTTGGACAGTTGTGACTGGCTGTCTCCTGGGAACCTTTGACAAATTTTCTCCCTCTCATCCAAAATCGTGCTTTTTTCAGCTTATTCAAATCACTGTTTCTCTCCAGAAGTTCTCATATGTTTTTTTTCCTAAGATATCCTTTTTTCACATTTTAATTTAATTTATTAATTGACATTAGAGAGAGAGGAAGGGAGAGAGACATCCATTTGTTGTTCCACTTGTTTATGCATTCATTGGTTGATTCTTGTATGCGACCAGAGATTGCACCCACAGCCTCGGCATATCTGGGGCGACACTCTAACCAGCTGAGAAGCTTGGCCAGGCCAGTTCTCATGTGTTTGACATGTACACTCCATTTTCTTCTGCTGCTCCCTAGGACTCTCTTGTTACTTCTATGGCTGAATTCTCTTTTTTGTTCCCACTGCATCTGTGTAAATGGACCACTTTTGTCTTTTTCACTTTTGTCATAGGTCGGTGTTGCAGTTGCTCTTCATATTGCACTTGAATCCAGTGCAGGCTCCTGCTGGTTTCATCCTTCGGGATGGCTGCCGTCAACCCGTGGGCCTCCTGGGGTGAGTCGAAGTCCTGTTTCTTCTCAGCGTCTCAGCAGTGACTTGCTGTAGCCAGCTGTCAGAGCTGGGGGTGGGGGCGTGGAGGCCAAGTGCTTCTGGGGATTGATTAGAGGGGGTCTGTTTTGGTACAGAATTAGAACTGAGCGAGATTTTTTAAAACTTGGTTATTGGTAAAAAGGGATACTTGGTATAAAAGACAGTGTGATTTTTACATATTTTATAGTCCTCTCCTGAGATGTTTCATTAGTTCAAAGAGATTTCCTGGTGATTCATGGGATTTCTTAGAAAACAGTCATACAGACAATCAAAATTTCTTTAGTATTCCTGTGTTTTAATCTTATTGTTGTTTTCCACTTGCATAACATTGCACTGACTTAAGTGCAGTGTTAAATAATAATGTGATGTCAGTGTTGTGTTTTAAATTTAGGTGAGGCTTCAGGTATCTGTCTCTAAAGACATCAAGGGAGTATGTTTCTATTATTTATATATTTTTAAAAATTAAGTAACATCGAACATTTGATTAGATAGCCTCTTCAGCCACTTAAGTGTTTGTGTTCTTAATTGTTGTGTGGCTCTATCATATTGATAAATTTCCTGATAGTGACCCACCTGTGCGTTTCTGGTATAAATCTAGATTATGGTGGTCTTTTCACATGCCTTTGGGCTCTGTTTATGGAACTTTGTTAGTTCCGTTAGTGAGACAGGTCTTCTTTTCCATTTTGTGGCCTTTAGTCACTAGGACTGGTGTCATAGAATCTCTCCTTCCCTGTTCTAACCTGGTCTTCTGGTGCAGGTGTCCTTACAGACCAGTGCTGGGGGATAGCAGCCGTTGACCCATGGGCCTCCTGGGGTGAGTCAAGAGCCTGTGTTCCCATTGGCCACATTGGCTGCTGTGGTGTGGCCTCTCCCAGCAGTGACCTTCCATGGCCGGGGACCAGACCTGAGGAACCATGGGGGGCTTTAGGGATGGGGGTTCTGGTCCAGCTCTATCTCTGTGCAGAGCTGAAACAAGGAGGGCTCAGATCACTCCGATGGGAGGTGAAGTAACGGTGACACCTCCAGGGCAGGGTGCATGAGAATGAATGTGTGGTGATTCAGGCCCAGTAAGGCTGAGAACAGAGATGGGACCTCAGAGTGGGGGCAGACAGGTGGGTTCATGTGTTTAGACACATTCCTTATCTCCTTGGAGCCCCCTCTCCATCTATAAAATGAGGAGGTAAGTCTCTTCCCTTGCCCAATGGGGAGGGCCGGGGCTGGCTCCCCCTGAACCCAGCAGGGGGAAGGACTGAAGTGGGCATGCTTCTGGCAGGGAGAGCTGCGTCTATGTCTTTGCTTTCCTCCCCAGCTCTGTGTCCTCAGGACTCTGCCTGGCGTGTGGAGGAGACCCCTGAGGCAGGGAACAGGGCTGCCGAGCTCCCAACAGCCCAGGTCCAGGTGAGATGGGGCTTCTGCTTTCCCATGAAGGACTACCTCATTCCCTAAGGTGTCCAGGTTGTCTCCATCCATCCCTATCCATGTGGTTCCTCAGTTTACAACAGCTGGTTGTGGTAGAGAAGGAATCAGAAGTTTATCACTTCCTGAACACAGACAGGGAGGATTCAGGTTTCTAGTACTTGGAGCCTCACTGTCAGCCAGCCTGTTCCCAGTCCTGAGCCCGGCTGTGCTGTGGGTGGTTTTGGTGGATGAGGGGTATCCCCCTTGCTTCCAGCCCCTCCTCTTTCCTTTTCCCACCTTCCCTCATGTATTCAGTGTGGATTCAAGCTGACGTTGTCTGGTGAGTGCTGTGGTTCCAGAGAGGGGAGCGAGGACAAGTTTGAGCCCTGTCCTAAGGAGCTCCCAGAGTGCTTCACTCAGCTCCTGAGGCCTCACAGCCTGCCTGGTGCTGCACATGTGGTTCAGGCCAGAACCTCAAGACACTTGGGGAGGCCCCAAGCCCTGGAGGAGCAGGATCGAGTTGATCCTTCAGGAGGTGGGATAGCATCTGCGCAGAGGTCATGGGACACAGAGAAGCTGGGGTTCTTTGCTGTTGGGAAGGAGGGTTCCCAGGAGACAGGGCATACCTGAACCAAGAAGATCAGCCCAGTGAGCGGGGGTCTGGGCTCCTGTAGCACCACGGTGGGGGTGGGGGGGGCTGCATGGCCAATGTCTGGGTGAAGACTTAGCCCATTTGATTTCAGGCTGGAGGGACCAGGACGAACCAGCCAGGTCCCAAATGCCTGCTGCAGAGTCAGGCTCCATCCTGGTGATAATAAGGAGCCTTAGGAGTATTGGGAGCAGGAGGTGCCAGGGTTCACAGTATGGCTGGAGAGATGTCCTTGGCAGGGGTGTGGGGAGAAGGGGAATGTGGGAAGCAGGCTTGTATTTCAGGCTTCAGTCTGACCAGGGCCTAGGAGCAAGATATGAGAGGCCTGAGAGAGCTGAAGCAGGGAACTTTGTGACTGTGAAGGACACAAGGGTGGCTCCTGAGAGAAAAAGGAAAGAGTTGATGTTGGAGAGGTGTCCTCTCCCTTCCCTCCTCCTGCCCAGTACTCCTCACCAGAGGCAGCTACTTAAGAAAAAATGTTTGTCACAACAGCTTTATTAAATACTCAGAAACCTAAGCATATATGTTCTTTTTTACAGGCAAAAGGAAAGAAATCATTATTTGTACAGTTGATCGTGGAAAATATATGGAGTTTGTATGATGCTGTCTTTTAAATGCCGTCTTTTAAAGGTTAAAATATTCCTATACCATAAAATTTAACCCTTTAAAATGTACAAGTCAGTGGTTTTTAGTATAGTCACAGAATTGTGCAATCATCACCAGTATCTAATTCTAGAACATTTTCATTACCCTCAAAAGACACCCTAATATCCTTTATCTTCACCCCCAGCAGCCACTGAATTTCTCTATGTATTTGCCTATTCTGGACATTTTATGTAAAGGGAATCGATTATACAATATATTGCCTTTTGTGTCTGGCTTCTGTCACTTAGCATGTTTTCAAGGGTTTATGTTGTAGCATGTATCAATATATATATATATATATTTTTTTTTTCATAACTGAGGCAGCCATTTTTAAATGTCTCAACTTCATGCCTCCCCCCAAGTTAAAAAAAAGTTAATGAAACCTCCCAGAGTTTCCAAGGTGACTGGTGAAATGTGTTGTAAGTTGCTGTCCCACATTCCAGCACTGCTGTCCTGGGTGGCAGAGGCCTGATCCATGTGGAGCAGGTGGTGGTTGTGCGGCATCAGGACTCTCCTGGCCATGGTGTCCTCTGTAGTTACAATGCACGATCATTTTTAGATCCTGTAACAATCAGCAGTGAAGCTAGGCTAGGCCAAAAGACAGGCCCTGAATCAGTGTCTTGGAACAGAAGTTAGTTGTAATAAAATGCTATGAAGAAGCTCTAATATAATAACCACTGTGCTGCACTCTGCTGTTAATTTAGATGAGGGTTTCTGGGAATTAATAGAGTTAATGCTAAGAAAATGAAATGGAAAGTTAAAATAACACCACCCTCCAATGTGATTTCTGAGCATGTGCTCCTGACCCCCTCCCCACACTCACTTTGGAATTTTCCTGTGGGAAACTGAAGACTTGTATTAAACAAGGTCTTCAGGAACACAGATGAGAGCCCATACTCCTCTGTTGTTCCTCCAAATTAAATACTTCCTGAAATAAAGCATTCACCTGGTGGAAACATCAAGTGTTGTCCTCCCTTGTTATCTGAAGTCTGTTCTAGGAAGCATGTTGGATAGTGAAGTTTCAGCCAGCAGGGATCCCCGGTCCCATTACTTTGAGGAATAGGGAAAATAATAATGTCCCAGCCTACCTAAAAACTCTAGCCAGCACCCCAGGTATGGAAACTCAAACCCCTGTAACAACCCACCAACGGTTTCTATGTGACTTACATAGGCATGTAAAATACCAATAATCTGATACTCCATACCCGTCTTCGGTTGTTTCAAGGATGTGCACAATCTAGTTACATTTTTCTTCTCTCCAAAGAGTTTGCACTAAAATATAAGTAAATAATGAAATTCAGGAGATTCCAGAGGCCATCTGAGTTTCCCCAGGTTCTATCAGAATTCAGGTCATGCAGGAGCAGTCCTGTGAGATCCCATCCTGTCAAGAAGATGCCTTAGACCAGCTCAGCATCCCCTGCAGCTTCCCCCAATCCTCCTGTGGTTTATACATGTGGCTGGTGTGTTAGCAGGTTCCATAAAGTTCTGGAATGTCTAGGAAAATGTGTGTTCAAAGCAACATGAGCGGGAGTGTTTGCAAGACGGTAAAACATCTTTGCAAGTCATTCTAGCAGATGTTTGGAAAGTGGGGTGTCAGGTGAGGGTGACCTGTGGAACAGAAGGGTAACCCTGGAGTGTCAGGTAGGTAGCAGCGAAACCTGCAGTTACTCCCCTAGCCCAGGAGGGGTGCTTTTGTTGCCACTCTTCCCACCATGTCCCTGTGGTCTCCAGCCTGGGTTTGCATTTTTCTTTACATTTCTGAGGCCTCCATGAGCTGTGGACCCTGACATGGGGGGCGTATTCAGCTGGGGTTCTTTTTTTCCCCTGCTGGTTCATGACCCTTCCTGTTGGATACCATCTTCAATTCTGGACATACTTCTTTTAAAATATTTTGGCAAGTTCCATAATTACTGAAAAATAAAAAGTAAACAAAACATGGTCCTCATCACTCCAGATTGACAGTTGTGACTATCTGGTCATACTGCTTTGTTTCCCTTTTTTATCCAGTCCCCAACCATTCCCTTCCCACCCTTCCTCAGAATGACTCTCGGTGCGCACAGCTAATCCATTTCATTCTTGTGCAGATAAACTGCATAGGTATAACAGGTAATAAGACCTCTTTTTTTAACGCTTTTTATACATGAGGCTTTTCTACAACTCTCTCTGCACACTCAGAGGCAACGCTGAGGTCCATGTATGTGCTAGACAGAGGTCAGGGTCATTCCTTTTGCCCCATCAGAGACGAGGAGTTTATTCATCTCTTCTGTGGATGGGCTTATAAGCCAGCCTGAACCCCACCAGGTCTGCTGTTCCACCCCAAGCAGTGTGGGCTTTCCTCTAGTTTCTTTGTGCGCACATACGAGTGTTTACTGAGGAATTTTGTGAATTTTAGGGTGTGTTTTCCCTATGACTGGTGCTGCCGTGTGGCTTTCAGAAGGACCAGAGCCACTTCTCAGGGCACCTTGAGTGAGTGCTCATTTCCCTGCATGTTTGCATCCATTTGACTATAGTTGACTTTTGCTTATGTCACCACCAAAACTGTATATTGTATTTTAATTTGCATCTCCTGTTTCTTCCCAGGGCTCTTGGCCTCACTCCAACCTCAGAAAACACTGGAGGAGGTGGCCCCAGGCTGAGGAGGAATGTGTGCTCTTTCAGGAACCAGTGACCTTCCAGGACGTGGCTGTGGACTTCACCCAGGAGGAGTGGGGTCAACTGGATCCTGTTCAGAGGACCCTGTATCGTGACGTGATGCTGGAGACCTTCAGGCACCTGCTCTCTGTGGGTAAGGCAGGTGCTACCCATGGAAATGAAGTGACTTCCATTGCGATACCTTCTGTACTCTGCTTTTAAGGCTCACAGAGGCCTCAGAAGGACTATATTGATCTTGAGGTCTATGGTTCAAGGGTGAAATTCCTAGTTCTTATAAAACACGAAGTGGCAGGGACTGTGCTTATTCTGCCCAAGTGAGAGGTCAGGGAGGAAGAGGCAAGGGGAGCTTTCCAGGCAACACACGTCTGTGTTTTTCTTCACATGCAGGGAATCATATCACCAAGCCCGAGGTCATCTCCCTGCTGGAGCAAGGAGAAGAGCCATGGTTGGTGGAGCAGGCATGTCCTCAGAGCACCTGTCCAGGTGAGAGCAGGCCCCCAGGTGGGAGTGAGGAACCTGCCCCTGCATCTGCCTTGTTTGAATACTGGGCTGAGGCCATGTGGAGTCACCTTCCTCAGATACCCTCACAGTTTCCTCCCAGGAGCTTTCTCTCTGGTATTGACTTTTTGCAGCTGTTGAATCAGAGCAGATATGCTCACCTTTTAACAAGGTGAGTTTTTGTAAACTGCACTTTCCCCACCACGCTGTCCACGCTCCTGATGTGTCTCACATTCTTTGCTGTGCATTTCTCTCTAATGACTTCTCATCTTCTAACCTGCTTCTTAGTTTTTATTTCATTTATTGCCAAACTTGTAGCGTAGCCACAGACTTCTTTTAAAAAACAAACAAGAAAATCAGTTTTTAATGTAGATATGGTATTCACATGGTTGAAAAAACTCAAAGCTATATAAAATAATGTAAGCAAAAAGAAATCTCATTTATATGCCATCTTCTTCTGCACATTATTCTTATCCCCAAACACAGACAGACAGCAGATGCGCACACACAGGCACACGCACAGGTAACCAGTTTTTTGGTTATTTTAAATATGTCTGTATTAATTTCAGAGAGAGGAAGGGGGAGAGAGAGAGAGATAGGAACATCAATGATGAGAGTCATTGGTCAGCTGCCTCCTACATGCCCTGAACTGGGGATTGAGCCCACAACCTGGGCATGTGCCCTGACCGAGAATTGAACCTCAATCTCTTGGATCATAGGTCAATGCTCAACAGCTGAGCCACGCTGACTGGGCACCAGTTTTTTTTTACTATGAATTTTTGATTTATTTTATTAGTGGTTGCCCTGCAGATTATAATTAACATCTTAATTTATAATAACTTTGACAGTGTGTGAAGACTTTGCTTCTATATAGCTCTTCCCCATTTTATGTTGTTATTGTCATAGATTACATCTATACATTGTGAGTTCCTCACCATAGGTTTATAATTGTTCCTTTATGTAGTGTCTTTTTAATCAGATAAATCAAAAAGAGTTACAAACCAAAAATGCATTTATACAGTTTTGCTATGTCGACCTATGGAGTACTTTATTAGTGTTTATTTCAAGTTATTATCTGGTGTCCTTTCATTTCAATCTAGAGGACTCTCTAGTGTTTCTCGTAAGACAGGGTTTTATTTATTTTTTATTTTTATTTTCACCTAGGACATGCTTAGAAAAAGAGAGGGTGCGGGAAAGAAACATCAGTGTGAGAGAGAAACATCAATAGGTTGCCTTCTGTATGTACCCTGACTGGGGACTGAACCTACAACAAACATATGTGCCCTTACCGGGAATCTAAATGGCAACCTTTTGGTGCTTGGGACGACGGTCAACCAACTGAGCCCCTCTAGACAGGCTTGTAGGGTAGGTTTCTAGCAAAAACTCTCTCCCAGGTTTTGTTTGTCTGGGAATGTCTTGATTTCTGTATTTTTGAAGGATAGTTATGCCAGATCCATGATTCGTGGTTGACAGTTTTCTTTCTGGCCCCCATGGCCTCTAATGAGAACTGAGCTGTTAGTATTAAGAGGACCCCTCCAGACTCTGGAGGGAAAGCAGATGTTCACCGTAAATGACATTGTATACACTATCTAGAGAAATGTGCTCCAAGGTCTCAAGCATGCAAAACACTTTTATAAGTTAGAACATTACACGACCTCAAAGCCTAGGAGTTGGCCCAGGGCCAATCATGAAGCAGGCCTTCTTGGGAATGTGCAGTTTGAGCAACTCATGTGGTGTAGAGTTACCTTTTTCCTTCACACCCTTATCTGGTCCTCCTGTTCATGGGAAAATACTTCTGAATGGATTTTATTAGTATTCAGCACATGCTTTATATTGCAGTTAACAGCTTTTGTTTACTCTTCACTATTTTAATTTTCCCTGTTGTGATCTTGCTCTAAGTTTACAAGTCTATTTGAAAACAAGTTCACACTTGCCTTTTCAATAATATGGACCAAAAAAATTCTACCTTTTCCACTCTGTTCTTAGAAGTTTTTTCTCTGTGCCCTCATGGCTTTTTTTCTATTTCAGAAGTGGTGAGAAATCCTGAAAGCAAAGCATTGATCCCAGCATACAGCATTTTTGAGGAAGAACAATCCCGTAGCATGAAATTGGAACGATATGTGTGGGATAATCCTTGGTTCTCCAGGTTAGAAATTTTAGGATGTGAAGACCAATTACAAATGTACCATGTGAACAAGAGTACAGCGATGAGGCAGATGTTCTTCATGCAAAAGCAAGTACTCTCTCAAAGAGGGTCTGAGTTCTGTGAACTTGGGGCAGAGTGTAGCCAGAGCTTAAACATTATCCCATCTCAGAGAGTTTCTCAAATAGAACATTTCTCTAAGCCTGATACAAATGTTGAAAGTTGGAGGTGTAACTCAGCCATAATGTATGCAGATAAGATTACCTGTGAAAATAATGATTATGACACAGCCTTCTACCAGTCCATGCAACCTGTTCACCCTGCAAGTATGCAAACTGGACATAATCTTTTCAAATGTTCTGATGCTGTTAAATCATTTAATCATGTACTACATTTTGGTGATCATAAGGGAATGCATACAGGAGGAAAACTCTATGAATATAAGGAATGCCATCAAATCTTCAACCAGAGCCCATCATTTATTGAACATCCAAGACCTCACATTGGAGAAAACCAATATGGTTACAAAGAATATGAGAATATCTTTTACTTCTCCTCCTTTATGGAGCATCAAAAAATTGGCACTGTAGAGAAAACGTATAAATACAATGAATGGGAGAAAGTCTTTGGGTATGACTCATTTCTCACTCAACATACAAACACTTACACTGCAGAGAAACCCTATGAGTACAACGAATGTGGGACATCTTTTATCTGGAGCTCTTACCTTATCCAACATAAGAAAACGCATACCGGAGAGAAACCCTATGAATGTGATAAATGTGGGAAAGTTTTTAGGAATCGTTCAGCCCTTACTAAACATGAACGGACTCACACTGGAATAAAACCCTATGAATGCAATAAATGTGGAAAAGCCTTCAGCTGGAATTCTCATCTTATTGTACATACGAGAATTCATACAGGAGAGAAACCTTACGTATGTAATGAATGTGGAAAGTCTTTCAACTGGAACTCCCATCTTATTGGACATCAGAGAACTCATACTGGAGAGAAACCTTTTGAATGTACTGAATGTGGGAAATCTTTCAGCTGGAGCTCCCATCTTATTGCCCACATGAGAATGCATACTGGAGAGAAGCCCTTTAAATGTGATGAATGTGAAAAAGCTTTTAGGGATTACTCAGCTCTTAGTAAACATGAAAGAACTCACTCTGGAGCAAAACCATATAAATGTACTGAATGTGGAAAGTCCTTCAGTTGGAGCTCCCACCTGATTGCCCATCAGAGAACACACACGGGAGAGAAACCCTATAACTGTCAGGAATGTGGCAAAGCTTTCAGAGAACGCTCCGCCCTCACTAAACATGAAATCATTCATTCTGGTATTAAACCCTATGAATGTAATAAATGTGGAAAATCCTGTAGCCAGATGGCTCATCTTGTTAGACATCAAAGGACTCACACTGGAGAAAAGCCCTATGAGTGCAATAAATGTGGGAAATCCTTCAGCCAGAGCTGTCACCTTGTTGCTCATCGGAGAATTCACACGGGTGAGAAGCCCTATAAGTGTAACCAGTGTGAAAGATCCTTTAACTGTAGCTCTCACCTGATTGCGCACCGAAGAACTCACACTGGAGAGAAACCATATAGATGTAATGAATGTGGGAAAGCATTTAATGAGAGTTCTTCCCTCATTGTACATCTGAGAAACCATACTGGAGAAAAGCCCTACAAATGTAATCATTGTGAGAAGGCTTTCTGTAAGAATTCTTCTCTTATCATTCATCAGAGGATGCACAGCGGGGAGAAACGCTTTATATGCAATGACTGTGGAAAATCCTATAGTGGTCACTCAGCTCTCCTTCAGCACCAGAGGAGTCACAGTGAAGAGAAAGTCTGTGAATTGAACTGATATTTTCTTTCCTTGTACATTTGATAACATTGAAAAAACCCTATAAGTATAATCAGGAGGGGTTGATTTTTAGTAAGAGTTCAGTAAGCCTTTCCCCTACTACTCAATAGAAGAAATGAATGAATGAAAACAATGGAGGAAAGGTTAGCAGTTATGTAGCCCTTATTTAACTTTAGATAATTAAAGTAAAGAAAATTACAAAGACCTCTTATGGTCCACCAGGAATCCTGCTTGAGGAACTTGAATGTAGAGAATGAGGCACCTTTTAGTAAGAGATCTCAAGTAATTGTGAATCAAAGTCCGTTGTTAAAGGAAAACCTTGTGCTAGGAAATGTGTTTCAGCTGATAATACACTGTTTTGCATCGAGCTGGAGTATTGGATGGGAAGTTTTACGGTAACATTCTGAGCATAATTATGGAAATGGATTTTCTATTATAAGGGGAAGGGTTTGGGTGCCCTTTAAGGAATAGAATGTAGAGTACTAAGTCTGAATTTAAGGGGGGGGAAAGCATTGAATGGGATATTTACTGTTCATCAAGATTAACCTTAGAAAAGATTACTAAATGAGATTATTAATAGTGGAAAGGTTATTGCCTACAAGTATGAGACTTAGGTTGTTGGGACAAAAAGTGACAATAATGCAGTATGTCGGTGTTAATGGTTTACTCATTACTGCATTTTTGGTCATTCGTTTGTGATTTGTTTCAGGCAGTCAGTATAAGTTATAATTATGGACACTGCATCAGCATACATAACCTGAGGGAGTAACAAGAAGCAGAGCTGTATATACCTATCTATTATGACATCTAAAAATGTACCTGGGTAAAGACTGGAAAGACCCACGGATAAATTAACCCAGTTAATTTAAAAATTTTTAAGTTTTACAAACTTGGCACTTAACCATTTTCTAGGATTTGTTTTAAATGCTTTTCAATTGTTAACCTGTTCAATCCCCTTAGTTCTATGAGGTAGGTGCTGTTTTTATCCCAGTTTTACAAACACAGAAACCGACCTAAGGACACGGCTAATAGGGAGTGGCGCTGAGGTGGTTCAACTCCAGAGTCCATGTTTTTAACCCGTGTTGTGCTGACTAGTGATTTTCCCCCAGTGTTTTTTGTTGTTGTTGTGTTTCTATGGTAGATATTTGCTAATAAAAGTCAAGAGATTCCTAAATAATGAGAACTAAAGTTATCTGGCTCTCTGTCCTGAAGGATTTCTGGTAACATGAACGCTAAGCTCCCTTTGGAATATGAAGTGTGGGTTGGACATTCTGAATCACTGCATTTTCTGGAGCCCGAGTTCCCTAGACTTTCACCACCCACAGCCCTGCGTATTACAGCAGAGCAGGGGCTGGAGGACTTAACCGGAGGTGCAGGGAAGTCGGAGGAATCTCGATGGGCTTGGGGTGCCCCTCACATAGCCGAGGGCAAGACAGCACTGCACGTGGTGCAGCATTCCTCAGGGTCTCCCTCAAATGCATGTTCTTTGTTTCCAGATTAAAGGAGTGCTTCATTGCAGAGAGGATTCAGGTGGGAAGGGCGCTAACCAGTTCCTATAGAGTGAGGAAATCTCTGCGTGCTCACAGGGGTAATGCGGTGAGACGAATAGGAGGACTTGGGTGGCTTCTCTCCAGTCACAAATATTTTCTGTATTTCCTTAACTATTTCCTGTAGGGCTAAAATAAGGGGCCAGCAGTCCTTCCTGGAGAGGCTTCAAGGGTATTGGTTAGAAATCCAGGGGACAAAATGTTCATCTAGGTCCATGAACCCCAGCGGTTGAGAAACTAGCCTCCTGCTGTCTTGGGATATTCACCATCGGAGTCCGTCACTGGAGCTTCCACAGGTACATGGTATCTCATTCCCTGCCTTTCTGGATGTACTGCATACTAGCCATCCAATAAGTTGCAGCAGTGAATTCAGATAATTGAATGGATTTCTAACATGATTTGTGTTGAGACCCTTGGAGGGAATAGAGTTAGCAGTATTCTCTCTGTTCAGGAAAGCAGCATAATGTATCAAGAGTCCTACTGTCAATATGTGGGTATTGTGTTAAAATACCCACAGTAGCACACTTAGAGTGAATCCAGATTCTCTGATTTAGGGACACCAAAGGACTTCATCAATGATACACAATATTGCATAAGCATCCTGGCATGTTACTCTATATTATCAAGCTTATTAAGTTTTTTGTTTGTTTTTAGAGAAACATCCATTTGTTGTTCCACTTATTTATGTATCCATTGGTTGCTGACTGGGGATCAAAGCCACAAGTGTGGTGTATTGCGATGATGCTCCAGCGCAATGAGCTGAGCTGCCTGGCCAGGGTAAGGGGATATGTTCTGAGAAATGTAGTTAGGTGATTTCTCATCGTCATGCAAACACCATAGATGGTACAGCCTGCTACATGCCTTGGATGTATGGTATAGCCTTTTAAAATACATATATTTTTATTGATTTCAGAGAGAGAAGATGGGAGAGGGAAAGAGAAAAACATCAATGATGAGAGGAAGTCCTTGTTGGGCTGCCTCCTGCACGCCCACTACTGGGGATTGAGCCTGCAACCTGGGCATGTGCCCTAACTGGGAATTGAACTTTGATCTCCTGGATCCTGGGCCAGTGCTCAACCACTGAGCCATGCTGGCCGGGCTGGTATAGTCTTTTGCTCCTGAGCCACAAACCTGTACAGCATGTTATTGCACATAGTAACATGAGATTAAATCAAGCATAAGAGAAAATGAGACTAAGAGATGCGGTAAATAGAGGATGTATGAGGCTGCTGCTGGTGTAACGGCACACTGTTCTACAGCAAACTGTTTTAACAAGAGTACACTAAAATAATGATACAGAAGCCCTGGCCGGGTAGCTTGGTTGGAGCATTATCCTAATACACCAAGGTTTTGGTTTGCTCTCCGTGCAGGGTACATATGAGAATGAGCCAATGAATACATAACTAAGTGGAACAACAAATTGTTCTCCCCCAACCCCTCCTCTCTAAAATAAAATAAAGTAAAAAGTAGAGTAGTATAGTAAATACATAAATCAGTAATAGTTGTTTATTTCAAGTATTACGTACTGTATGTGTTAAGTTTATATCAGTAGGTTTTTGTACACTAGCATCAGGACAAATATGGAACACACTGCATTGCAACATTAGGACAGCTGAAATGTCATAGGAATGTTTGGGCTCCATTGTAATCCTATGGATCAGAGTACATACGTAAGGTCTGTTGTTAGCTGAAATGCCCTTTAGCTGGCACATAATATTACATGGAAACAAGCCTCCCTGCTTAACTTCCGGGGGGACCTGCCTGCCCCACTTTATTTGCTGGATGTTACTCTTGTCCAGTGAGTAAATGGCTAGACTGGGAGGTGGCAGGTTCATTTTTTTGGAGCTCTATGCAAACTAGGTGGACCTTCATGTGGCTGCTGCTGTCTGAGGGGATCCTCCAGGGCTCCAGCATTCCAGGAAGCGCTGCACCCCAGGCGGAGGACAGGTGGTCTTGCACTTACCATTACATGTAAATACACGTAAGCAGGGCTTTGAGGCCGTGATCTAAAGAGCCCATTTCCAGTCATTCTGACATCTTAAGTTCCAGGACACTCATGGGACTGAGGCCCTTGGACATAAGTTGAGTACTAGCCACTGAGGTCATAACTCACTGGTACTGGAAACAGTGAAAGGGGTGTATGGGGTGGGGATGGCAGTGAGCTCCAGACTCCTTCAGAAATCAGGTGAGGCCTGGCCAGGTATGGCTCAGCGATTGAGCATCAACCTAGGATCCAGGAGATAGAGGTTCGATTCCCAGTCAAGGCACATGCCCAGTTGCAGGCTCAATCCCCAGTCTGGGGCTGCAGGAGGCAGCTGATCAATGACTCTCATCATCGATGTTTCTATCTCTCTCTTTCCCTGTCTCTGAAATCAATAAAGATTTTTTTTTTTTTTAAAGTTTCTTTAAAAAAAAAAATCAGGTGAGGACAATAATGACGCATAGGTAAGGCAGCTGGGCAGTGACTTGGGGAAAGGTACAAACAGACCAGGAACAGGTGAAGGCTGAAGTGTGAGTAACTACACTTGGTTCACTGGGAGAGGAACGAGTGCCCTGGAAAACGGCTGGTGCGCTTCATTGGTTCACTCCTGTGTTCAGCAAATGGGGGGTGGGGGGGACAGTGCTGCTGCACTTGGAGCCGGTCACTCTGTGCGTGCCCTCGGGGACCACAGTCATGGGTGAGATGTTGGGGGCATCGGTGAGGACAGGTCAGGATGTTGGGGCTTCAGACAGGAAGGAACAAGTGTGGGAGCAATGGAGGCACCACAGTCAGACCAGGGAGGCCACCAGGGGAGCTGACACCACTGTTTCTGTCCATAGCCAAAAGCTAGCAACAAAACCATCAGCCGTTGCTGTTGCTCTGTGGTGTTTAGAGAAAAAGAAAACATACTTGCCTTTCAGTTCAGAACACGAGACTCAAGGTTTCATTCAACAAAAGGAGATGGACAGAGTTCCACATCGTGGACACTGCTACAGAAGCAGCAAAGGTGGGGGTCGGCCCAGGCAGGAGAACCTGGGGAAAAAGGGGGAGGGGGCAGAGGAGCTAGGCCTGGGGCCAAGAACATGGAAGAGGAACAGGTTCTGCCTCCACACTAATCTGTCTGCTCCCTGAGGGCAGGGACCTGGTCTTCCTTATACCTGCCCCTCCCACTTAACCACCCTCCACATGGCCCCCCAACCTGTTAGTGTCCCCATTGGCTGGCGTGGTTCTGAGCTGACCTCACACTGGCGCCTCCAAGGCAGAATCCAAACATTCTGTAAGGAGCAGAGCTCCTGTAGGACAGATACTGGTTACTAGCTAAAGTGTTCTTTTCACCATAGGATAAAAGACTTAACAATTTTGTAGTGATGGACAAGGTTTGAAGTTATTTCACCTTTTTATTTTTGTTTTTAATGGAATGGCCGCTTCATGTATGCTTGCCTAGCGCAGGTAAGTTTAGACCCAGTTGCGCAAATGACAGGCTTAATGGGTAGCACCAGACATTTTTTTAAAATATCTTTTTTATTGATTTCAGAGGGAGGGAAAGGGAGAGAGAAACATCAGTGATGAGAGGGAATAATCGATTGGCTGCCCCCTACTGGGGGTCAAGCCTGAAACCTGGCGTGTGCCCTGACTGTGAATCTAACCCTGACCTCCTGGTTGACAGTGCAGTGCTCAACCACTGAGCCACGCTGGCCAGGCGCACCAGCTCTTTTTTTGTTACTCATTTCAGGAGAAGTAAGAAAGGGTCATTACATTTCACTGCTACAAGTTTTCAAGGCTCTCAGTAGTCACAAGAATCAGTAAAAGTCTTGAGACAGCCCAATGTGTCCCCTAAGAAAACTAAATTACCTCAGATTCAACCTGCTTCCCCAAGACCCACCATCAGTCCTTCTATTGCTCATTCAGTGAAATAAAAACTCTGGCCTGGGGTCCTCTCATCTGCTATATGAATGTCCTCTTGTGTATTTGTTAGTAGCATGGCCTATAAAATCATTACATAAGCACTGCCTGGAAATTAAACCCTGTGTTCTCCCCTCTGTAGCCGGTGCCATTCTGTTTCAGTTTTCTTCCTCTTTGTTTTTTGTTTGTTAATGCTAATCAAAGGATATTTTTTCCATTGATTTTTAGAGAGAGTGGGAGGGAGAGAGGGGCAAGGAAAGAGAGATATCTATAGGAGAGAGACACATCAATTAGTTGCCTCCCACACTTGCTCTAACTGGGGCTAGAGATCAAACCAGCAACCCAGGTAAGTACCCTTGACCAGGAATCGAATCTGCAACCCTTCAGTCCGATGCTCCAACCACTGAGTCACACTGATGACTGGAGCACTGGGTGGTTAGAGTGTCAAGGGCACCTACCTCGGTTGCAGGTTCGATCCCAGGCCCCGGTCAGGGCGGGTGCGGGAGGCAACCAATCAATATTCCTCTCTCTCTCCCTCTCCCTCTCCCTAAAAATTAAAGGAAAAATATCCTTGGTTAAGGATTAACCAAAAAATAAATTGCATAAATAAATGAAGTATCAGTCCCATTTTCATATGAACATGCTTTCAATGTTCTCATCTTTGTTTTGTTTTGTTTTTGTTAATCCAGGGGACCAGAGATTGAACCTGCATCCCAGGTATGTTCCCCTGACCGGGAATTGAACCCTTAGACTCTTCCATGTGTGGGCCGGCGCTCTAACCACTTAGCAACACCTGCCACGGCCCAATTTTCTCATCTTAAGAAACAAAACCTGTCTCTTGATTGCTCAGCCTCCTCCAGTTGTCCCTGTTTCTCTCCCTGCCTTTACCACAGAGCTCCTCAAAAGTTTCTAAAATTCACCCGAGCTGGTTTTCTCAATGGTTAGAGCACCAGCCCATGGACCACAGGGTCCGGGGTTCAATTCCAGGTAAGGGCATCTGCCTTGGTTGCAGGCTCAATCCCTGGTCCCCAGTCGGAGCTCATGCGTGGGGCAACCAATTGATGTGTCTCCCTCACATTGATGTTTCTCTCCCTCTCTCCCTCTCTAAAAAGCAATGGAAAAAAATATCTCAGATGAGCATTAAAAAAATAAAAAAGCGTCCAAAACTTGCGTGTCTAATTCCTTTCCTCTAGTTCTCTCTTGGACCTGTTTCAGTCAAGCTTGCATCCTCACATTGGTGCTAATGCCACTTTGTCTAGGTTTTCAATGACCTTCCCATTGGCAAATCCAAAGGCCAGGTTTTCAGTACTTGTATTGAAACCATCTGTGACGCATATTCTTTGTCTCTGCCCCATTATTTCATTATGAAAATCCGAAAACACACAGAGGAGTTGGAAGGATTATAGAGTGCACATCCATATACCCCCCCACAAGTCTACAATGAAGCATTTTATACTGCTAGCATTTCCAGTCTAGGTTCTTTTCATCACGCTAGGCCAACCTCACTGAGGGCTGAGCCTCAGGGCCTTTTTCAGCGCAGTTGCCGAACTCCCCATCCTGTGCCAGTGAAGGGACAGAAAGTGAGGGATGGGCATGGCGCGGCCGCCTCAATTTGTCAGATTTTGCACCAGGATGAGTAATGTACTTACTTGTCTATTGCACTTTTGTTCAATGTGTACAAACAATAACTTGGGGTTTTTTTTGGTTTTTGTCAGGTGATAGGAAGGATGGTACACCTGAGCCTACAAAGAACTTTATAGCACATTCGCAGGCCCTGAACACTGCAAACACCTGGGATGCAGGTTGGTGGACTTGTAATGTCCTTTTATTGCAGCACTACCCAACCTGAGCCCATGAGGGCAGCACTCAAGCTGTAAAACTAAGGCCGCTCTCTCATTAGCTATGCAGGTGGCAGGTGCTGCTATACTGAGTCAGGGACCCCGCATCTCTAGCAAAGGAGGCAGATGAAAAAGGGGTGTCCATGATAACGTGGAAATTCAAATGGTATTTGTTCACACAGGATGTGCATTTTTGCCTCTGTATTTTAAAATAATAGTATTTCTGATTTTATCTCCTATTCTCCTTTGATACAACAATATGATTACTATATTAACTGATGGGCACAGCTAAAATGAAATTTGGTGAAAACTTCTTTTCTTTCCTTTTTAGTGCTGATTCCACGTAGACGTGCTCTTTTTCAAGTAATTACAATTGCATGCATAACCTTAAGCATTGCCCTGATATGTGGGACAGCTGTTTCCTATATGATATAGTAAGTCTATGCCAAGTAACATTACCATCCTTAAATAAGACATAAATTAACTAGGTTATTATTTAGTGATGATGATCATAATTCTTATAATCACTAAATAATTAGAACCTGTATTGCTTTCCAGACTACTGTTTTTCAGAATATGGACAGTACTTGTATTGTGTCATGATATAAGTGGGGGGGAAAGAGAAAGAAAAAACAATATAATTTAGAAGAATAGAATATATTAAAAAGTATTATATGGCCCTAGCCAGTTTGGCTCAGTGGTTAGAGGATCAGCCCTCAGACTGAAGCATCCTGGGTTCGATTCTGGCCAAGGGAACGTACCTTGGTTGCAGGCTCGATTCCCGGCCCCAGTAGGGGTGGGTGAGGGAGGCAACCAATCAATGTGTGTCTCTCACATTGATGTTTCTCTCTCTCTCCCTCTCCCTTCCACTAAAAAAAATAAAATAAAAGGATTACATGTATTAAAATAAAAATAAAAACATATAAAAGCATGCATGTAGCCCGGCTGGCGTGGCTCAGTGGTTGAGCATCAACCTAGGATCCAGGAGATCAAAGGTTGATTCCCGGTCAGGGCACATGCCTGGGCTGTGGGCTCGATCCCCAGCAGGGAGAGTGCAGGAGGCAACTGATCAATGACTCTCATCATTGATGTTTATGTCTCAGTCTCTCTCTGCCTCTCTCAAATCAATAAAAACATTAAAAACAAAAAACAAAACTAGCACAATTTATTACCCGAAAAAAGACATGATGACATGTTATGAAAATCGTGTTCCTAAATTCATCTGCATCATTTTCTAGTCGACTGGTAGAGGCTGAGAAAAGACAACAACTTGCATCGCTTTATCAAAATATCAAGATACCATCATTAGGAGATGAAGAGGAGGGCTTTGAGGATGAGCGCCAAGATGGGTCTGATTACCTGCTTCCAGAGAATGGGAAGGAACTAGCAAAGTTCATTAATTCAGGTAAGAATCGACCAGTTTATTGCGTCAGATCCAAAGTAACATGAAAGCTGAGCTGGCAGTGGTTTGGTTTTCAAAGGCAAAGCTAAGTGGGAGTTAATGGCGTTTGAGGAAAGAAAGATGACTATTCACAGAATTGACCTGTTCACATCAAGTTGTACCAGTGGTAAACAGCTATGCAGTTGCTTGGTTCCTCTTGCAGGGAAGCTCCGAGGATTGAAAACAGAGTTCAGGAAACAAACTTTTTACCGGACCAGACATTTCCCTTAAACATAGTTGTTAAAGTGACATTACTCCCAAGTTTAGAACAGACAAGCAGATGACCTGCCTGCATCGTGGGCCTCAATCTGATGTGAAAATGGGATCGAGGCCCACAAAACAGAGGTCACTACCCCAGGTTCAAAGCTCCTTGTCTGAGATATGCCAGTCATGCCTGCAAATCCTTGTGAGGAGAGGGCCACACATATGTTCATATAAGCCTGATTTTGTAGGAGTTCTGACATTCTTGGGTACTTTAAAAAAACCCTAGAGCAGCCCTAGCTAGTTTGGCTCAGCGGTTGGAGCGTCGGCCTGCAGGGTTCAGCTCCCATCAAGGGCACGCACCTGGGTTGCAGGCTCTATCCCTAGCCCCAGTCTGGTCAGGGCTTGTGTGGGAGGCAACCAATCTACGTCTCTCTCACATTGATGTTTCTCTCTCTCCCCTCCCACTCTATCTGAAAAGCAATGGAAAAAAATATCCTCGGGTGAAGGTTAAAAATTTTTTTTTAAATCCCAGAGCAAAAATCTGTAGAGAATGCAGTATCTAACTCAGTCTTATTAACCATATCCTGGAAGGATCTCCTCCGTAACAACCCCAGGCAGAGGGTCAGAAAGAGCATAGGAGGCCAAGAGCAGAGATAACTGATTGACGCTTTCTGAAGCAGACAGCCCTTGTTAACCCTTAGAAAAGACTTTTTCAATTACACTGAATTATAACTTTCCTATATTCTTTTATTTTATTGGTCATTTATAAAGATTGAATACAAACTCATCGACAGGATGGTGCTGAGCAGTGGGAGAGGGGTTTTGGGGGAGGTAGAAGAGGGTACAGGGGGTAGAAATGGTGATGGAAAGACTTGACTTGGGGTGGTCAGCACATAATATATAGATGATGTATTATAGAATCATATACCTGAAACCTATATAATTGTATTAACTAATGTCACCCCAATAAATTCAACGAAAAAAATAAAATGAACACAGAAAATGGGACAATTTAAAAATTCAGGTTCTCACCATCCTTATCAAATAACATTATGTACTAAAAATTCCACTCTTTGCATCTTTATTTTTCCATTCTTTTTCCCTCAGCTTTTTCTCCATTTCTATTCCTCATTTTTTGTATCTTAATAACATTATGTCTATATTTTAGTTATTCAATCAAAAAGAAGACAATATATTGAACGGACAAGATTGGAGAGTGAGCAAAATTAGTAAAAGAAACAAAATACTGAGTGCTTGTGCACCTTGCAGAAGTGGGAAATCTGTGAAAGCAAATGAAAGGACGTGCTATCCAGTGTGGAGAAAATGGCAGAGATGTCAGACTGAGGACATGCAAACCCTAAGGAAAGAAAACCAGAAGTATATAACAAAATAAATTCATATGATCTAGTAATTCTTGCATCTTACCTCTCATAGTTCACTAATAATTATAATGTAATTGGAAAGAGAAAAGTCCAACTTCATAAGCATGAAATAGAAATGATAGTGGGCAAGGGCACATAATGAGAACAGAGCCACAGTTGTTTAATAATCATTCACCTTACTAACTGTAGATAAGAAGTTTCCTTACAGACCCTGGGAAACTGGAGGGTGAAACAAGGCTGTAAAAAGATAAGGTGCTTTGGTGGGTCTGTTACTCAGAAAAGAAATACATTTTGAGAACAGACCAAGGACAGGATACACTTTGATTAGGTTGCTGCGCTGGAACCCTGACCCGCGTCCGGGAGTTGGCCTCAGGAATGCTGACCAATCTCTGGTCCCAGGAACAGGCTGAGCTTTCTGTAACATCATAGAAGATTAGCCACCTGGTTATCGTACTTTGAGCTCCTGAAGGCCGGACTGCAGACGCTCCCTTCCCCTTTCCCTGTTACTCTTGTAGCTCTAGCTGCATGTAGTGATCATCTCCCTCACTGGTATATAATCAGCCAACTGGCAATAATAGAATAAACGCTCACATATGATTCAACCCTGTCTCTGCTTAATTTGGCTAAAGCAGTGACAGGTGGCCTCAGACCCCTTATGTCCGGTTTCAGAAATTGTCAGTATTTTCTTTCCTTGCTCCTAACCAGAAATACAAGTAATTTCTTTGGGCAATCTCCCAGACCATGCTGGGGAGCACTTTCATGAAACAGAACTTTCCCACTGATATCTGTCAACTCCAGTGTGAAGGCTTAAGGCCTTCTGAGATCTTTTCTGCATTGTCCCTAGCTCCTGTGTGTGTGTGTGTGTGTGCGCTTTCCCCAATTCTCAGCATACACAAAGTGGGCTAAATACCTTGATTTTACTGAGGGGGTACAAAACAATAGTCATGAGTATAAAAATGGCAAAACAAAATGATGAGTTTTTAAAATTTGCCAATTCAGGAATCCCCAATTGATCCTGGGTGCATCAAGGATTTTTCTTTTTAAAAATGTACATATTATGTGATTGTGTGTGCTTTCACAGATATCACTACTAAACCTTATAAAAGTGAGATCTTTTTTATCTATGCAGAGACAATTCTGCCACCATCTTTGAATCACTAGTTATTATTAATAGCTTTATAAAAAAAATTTTTTTAATTGAGGTATGTTAATGTAAGAAATCATTCCAACCTATGAAGACTTTTTTTGTGAGTTTATTTGAGCCAAATTGTCGAAATTGCTGGGAAGCCGAAACCTCAATGGATTGAGATAATGCTCTGGAGATGGCAGTTTTGCACCTTGCTTTATAGATTACAATCAAAGGGGAGACCCAAGTGGGTTACATGAAATCTGTTGGGGATAGATTAGGGAGGTGGGAGAAAGCAAAGCAGGGAGACCCCAGACTGGATAAAAAGTAAAATGATAGACACATACTTCTTTTACACAGGGGGCGTGCAGGATAGTTAACAGTCCACAGTTACCTCAGTGACAAGGAGAGGGTTCTGGGCTCTGCTCTGGTGCACTGAGGGGCAAAGGCACGTGCTGATCAGGTGTGTTATCACAGATGCAAAAGACCACCGACAGGCTTAGTTAAGGTGAAAATTAACCTTTGCGAAGGAAAAATACTGCCTTAGGGCATGACTACCCACCATGGACTGCTTTTAGTTAAAAAGTTTTAATTTCAGACCCTCTTTCGAGGTTATTTTAGGTCTCTGGGTTTGCAAGGCCGCCATGGGACCTGCCCTGAGCCTTCCAGGTCTAGGATGCGGCCCCTTTCCGTCCACAGGTGTAGCTGCCCTATAATGTCATATTAGTTTCAGGTGTGCAGCATGATTCGCTATTTGTATACATTGAGAAATGGTCATAAGTTAACATCTGTCGCCTTAGGTAGTTACAGAAATTAACAGCTTTCTGTAACCTGCCTTTTGCAGGTGCTATTCTGAGGTAACAGCGGCTCCCCGTGCAGCACAGAGGCCGCATCACTGCCCAGCACGCAGGCTAGACGGCCGAAGGCTCCACCTGGGCCGCCACCCAGCGCACGTGCTGCTGCTGAACAACCGCGGAGCACGTGCCTCTGGGAGGGAAACCTTTGGGGGGCTCTGGAAGAATGTTCAGCTTCACGAGTGCACGGACTCTGAAACGTCCCCAAACGCTTGCGTGACTAGCGGCACTGAGCCCCTCAGGAGCCTGAGAAAGGCATCCTTCAGGGGAGCGAAGCCCCCGCGCATTCCTGGGGCCCAGACTCGCCATTTCCCCGCGCCCCTCGCGCGGAGCCAGGCCTTTTCCCTGGAGGCCGCAGGGCAGCCCCTCGGTGCGGCCTGTGGGTGGGAGAACTACATGAACTACATTACCCAGAATGCTCCCGGACGTTGGCAACGACGCCCACCAATGAAGGCTCAGAAGGGTTTGCCGGGGCGATAATGTAGGGCGGGACTTCCGGCGTCCCCTGCGTGGTGGGCGGAGTTCCGGCTGCCCTCTGAAGTACGTCGGCCGGTCGCGCTGCCCCGAGGGCTGGGTGTGGTGGAGACGCCGGCGGAGGAGCCCTGTTCCCGCCGCCCAGACGCGGCTGTGAGGCTCCGTGACGCCGCCGTGCGACCCGCGCCGGGGCAGGGACAGGGG